CTCCAATCCTTTGGCCACCTGATAGGAAGAACTGACTCCTTGGAAAAGACCCTGATGCTTGGAAAGATTGAAAGCAGGAGGAGAAGAGCACAAGAGAGGATGAGATGGTTGGGTGGCATCACCTACTCGATGGACATGAGTTTGAGTAAGCTCTGGGAGTTGGTGATGGACAGGGAAGCCTGGCGTGCTGCAGTCCATGGGGTCACAAAGAGTCGGACACGACTGAGCGACTGAACTGAACTGAACTGGAATATAGTTGCTTCACAAAGTTGTGCTAGTTTCTGTTGTACAATGAAGTGCATCAGCCACATGCATATATATATCCCCTTCCTCTTGAGCCTCCCTCCTACCCTAAATACGACTTTTAACAGTTACTCTGACAAGAGTTTACTAATATGTCTAAGTGTCATTACGTCACATGGTGTATGAGCTGTGGGCATGAGAGGACGGATATGTCAAGCTGAATTATACAGTTTTGTTCTCTTCACTCTGTCCTGTACCAAGAATCCACATCACACGATGGCTGATGGCTGTTCTTGACACAAGCTGACATGTTTAAAGAAATGACAAAGATTTGGCTCTAAGTCCTCAGCAATGGGGGTCCTGTAATGCCGTCCACATGGCCCAGACTCAGGTCTCCTTGCTCGATGAGCCCCTGCTGAGGGGGTTCAAGTGCACCATTAGCAGTAAAGGCAGTGAACTTCCAGCACACAGGTGTGGCTGGTGCAGAGAAGAGATTTCCATCTAAGCTGATGGCATGGGGGCCAGTCTAAGGTGAAGGAGAGGAGGTGAAATAATCTTAAAACATAGGTGTTCTGGCCTGAATTATGCCCTTCTCCCAAATTCAGGCATTGATGCCCCAACCACTCCCCCCACCTCTACCTTGCGCTGTGCTGTGCTTAGTCACCGAGTCCTGCCTGACTCTTTGTGACCCCGTGGACTGTAGCCAGCCAGACTCCTCTGTCCATGGGATTCTCCAGGCAAGAATACTGGAGTGCATATGCCCTCCTCCAGGGGATCTTCCCAACCCAGGGATTGAACCCAGGTCTCCGACATTGCAGGCGGATTCTTTACCACCTAAGCCACCAAGGAAGCCCTAGAATATTGGAGTGGGTAGCCTATCCCTTCTCCAGGGGATCTTCCTGACCCAAGAATCACCACTACCTTAGAATGTGACTGTATTTGAAGAGGTCTTTAAGAAGGTGATTAGGTTAAATGGGGCCATTGTGTGCACGCTAAGTCACTTCAGTCCTGTCCAACTCTTTGCCATCCTATGGACTATAGCCCACCAGGCTGCCATGCCCTCCTCCAGGGGAATCTTCCCCATCCAGGGATGGAAACTGATTCTCCTACATCTCCTGCATTGGCAGATGGGTTCTTTACCACTAGCACCACCTGGGAAGCCCAGATGAGGCCATTACTTGGGTCTTAATCCAATGTGACTGGGGGCCTCAAGAGAAGAGGAAATTTGGACACGCAGATGTCAGGGAGGCCTGCACACAGAGGGAAGACCATGTGAGCACACATCCAGAGGTGCCATGTGTGGGCGAGCTGAGGAGATGGCCTAAGAGGAAACCAAACCTTCGACACTTTAAAGCTTGGACTCCAGCCTCCAGAACTGTGAGGAAATGAATCTCTGTTGCTTAGGCTGTCCCGTCTGTGGTCTTTTGTTACAGGAGCCCTCATAAACTAAAACAACAAAGAAGGAAGGGGCCTGGAGGTGTTAGGGAGAAAGGTAAAACCAACAGATGTTGAGCAGAGCAAACTAATACACAGATAAGGCTACATTTCCTGGATGAAACGCTACATTTCCCAGAATTTCTGGCAGGGGAACAGGGAGGTGGCTAGGTGGCTGCCAGTCCTGTGCATAGGGCACTGATGCGTGTTTGGCAGCCACCAACATAGCAGGCTAGTGGTGGAAGGACAGGGTTTTCTGACAGCCAGTCCCCGAGTTATCAGGAACAAGTGACAAACAGTGACGGCAGGGTGTTTCCACTAGAGACGTCTTCTGGTGCTGTGGGGTATTTCTGTCTGGGTGCATTGTCCCTGGCTGTATGGCGCTCGGTCCTCCCAAATATCTCCGAGTTATCCTCTGTTCAAACTTGCTAGAGTGCACTGCGTTATGAGCAGCTAAGAATCCAGTCTGACAGCAACGGAGAGTGGTCTGTGAAAGGCTGATGAGATGGGCTCACTTTGTAGGTACAGCACTTGAAGCAGCTGGTGACCTCACTGTGGCCGGAGGGGAATCCCTAGACTTTTAAGCAGAATGATGACAAGCTTAGGTGCTCATGTTAAAAAAAGTCACCTGATCGCACTGCGGCAGAACAGCTGAAGACGGTTGGCCAGAAGGGAGAGGGCAGCTCAGCTCACACAAAACAGGAAGGATCCCAGCTCTACAGATGAACTACGCCATACTGAGAGGGGTTAAGACACTGACCCCAAATCAGCAGCTAAAAGGTGTTAGAGACCAAAAATACACTGGTATAAAGGGGAAAAGAACCCAGGCCTCCCTTCACCTGGGCGTCTTCTACCTTCTCCAGGCTCCTTGTCTGGAAGCAGCTGGTGGGGATCAGAGGTCATGTGGACCATGAATGGCTTAGCGCCCCGTTACGGGGGAGGAGAGTCCATACGATGGGATGTAACCCTAGGACTGGGCTTAGGAAGCACAGAATTTTACAGTCGGAGGATCCTTTGAAAAAGCCTATATAATACTATGGGCTTCCCTGGTGGCTCAGATGGTAAAGAATCTAAACTCCCTAAGTTTAATAATGAGGAAACTGAGGCCTGGAAAGGTCTTGCCCAAGACCCTACGAAGAAGCAGAGATGGTACTTACTACGGGTTGAATTATGTCCCTGCAAAACATATGTTGAAGTCCTAACCCCGGGGATCTGTGAATGAGGTCTTATTTGGAAATAGGGTCTTTGCAGATGTAATCAGGATAAGATGAAGTCATACTAGATTCAGCTCAGGTCAGTTCAGTCACTCAGTCATGTCCCACTCTTTGTGACCCCGTGGACTACAGCATGCCAGGCTTCCCTGTCCATCACCAACCCAGAGCTTGCTCAAACTCATGTCCATTGAGTTGGTGATGCCATCCAACCATCACATCCTCNATCCAGCCTGGCATTCTGCATGATGTACTCTATATATAAGTTAAATAAGCAGGGTGACAATAGTCTTGACCTACTCCTTTCCCAAATTGGAGCTAGTCTGTTATTCCATGTCAGGTTCTGTTGCTTCTTGACCTGCAATCCGATTTCTCAGGAGGCAGGTAAGGCGGTCTTGTATTCCCATCTCTTAAAGAATTTTCCACAGTTTGTTGTGATCCACACAGTCAAAGGCTTTGGCATAGTCAATAAAACAGATGTTTTTCTGGAACTCTCTTGCTTTTTCTATCATCTAACAGATGTTGGCAATTTGAATACCAGCTGAGCCACCAGGGGAGCCCCATACTAGATTAGGATGGCCTTGAAAACATTTATGATTGGTGTCCTTACATGAAGAGACAATTTTGGGACACTGAAAGACACGCGGGGAGAAGACGGTCACGTGATGATGGAGGCAGAGATTAGAGTGAAGCACCTACAAACCAAGGAACACAGAGGAGTGCCTGCATGAGATAGTGCATGCGTGCGTGCGTGCTCAGTCGTGTCCAATTCTCTGCAACCCACAGACTGTAGCCCGCCAGGCTCCTCTGTCCATGGGATTCTCCAGGCAAGAATACTGGAGTGGGTTGCCACAGCCTCCTCCAGCGGATCTTCCTGACCCAGGGATCAAACCCATGTCTCTTACATCTCCTGCATTGGCAGGCGGGTTCTTTACCACTAGCACCACCTGGGAAGCCCTATGCATAACCATAATTCACTTGTAATCATTTGTTTATTTGAGGGGACTTGTGGGTAGTTTCCAGTTTTTATTCTCTATCTAAATAACACTTTGTTCCTAAAGCCTTTTTTTTAAAAAAAAGTATTATTTATTTATTTTTGGTTGCGGCAGGTCTTCGTTGTTCCATGACATGTGGGATCTTAGTTCCCCAATGAGGGATCAAACCCACATCCCCTGCATTGGAAGGCAGATTCTTCACCACTGGGCCACCAGGGAAGTCCCATTCCTAAAGCTTTTATGGCCTTTCCTACAGATTGAGTCCTACAGATGAAGGATCTAGGTTATAGCATGTTGATACGGCCATGTCACTTTCTGAGAGTGGTAGGAGGTATGAGCCAGGCAACCATGCCCGATGTGTTCCAGCCGCTTCTTGAAGGACAAGCGGCCCTACCCACGCAGACCTGCCCTCCTTCCCGGGCACCCTTCTTTAACATCAGGCCAAGTAAGCACCCTGCATTTTTTGCCTGGAGCTTCACCGTCTTTCTTGTCTGGGCTGGATTAAGAATCAAATCCATCTTGCCCCTGCCTGTCTCCTGCTTCGCCCTCACCCGTGATGACTGTTCTGTACTCTGGGTTACCAGCTTGGGCCCCACCCCGCTTCAGGACCGTAAACCCTCTTGAACCTGTGGAATCCCACAGTCACAGTCCTGCAACTTCCCCGGAGGACACAGGGGCCGCCATCCAGGAGGAGAGGGGAAATGGGGGATGCGGGAAGGTGATCAGGAGGGAGGGGCAGTTGGCAGGGGCAAGGGGCCCCATTCCCCACTTTGCAGGAAAGGGTGTGGCTTCCGCTTGCCTCCGGGTCAGGCTCCAGCTCCAAATGCTTGTCTTTGGGTTTGGCTGGACAGCGCTTTAGGGATTTCAGTCTAGCCCGTCAGTGGGCTTTTGCGGTCAGACAAGCTGACTGTCCTCCCTTCTCTGTATCTGGACTCCCTAAGCAGCCACCCTAGACTGGCCTGTCTGGAAGAGAACTCACATCCTCCCCTCCCTTCACCCGTCCCCTGACTGCATGGTGGTGGTGGTGGTGGGGTATCATGCAAAGCAAGCCCCAGGAACAGGGGGAGTGCCCACAGGGGCCCATCTCAGAGAGTTTGTCTTCAACAGGCGCCGACCCAGGCTCAGTTATTCTAACAACCAACACCTTCACGGAACTTTTCCTGCAGCTTCTAACGTGAGGGAAAGAAGGGACAGGGGCCTTGGTGGGAAAGCCCCTGACAACCAACAATGCCCACCAAAATCCCCGCCCCTCTCCCTCACCTTAGAAGCCACAGGAAAAGTTCCCCAAAGGTGCTTTCTCTGAGGTGTGGCCGCCTCCACAAACCCGGAAGGACTAGTCTATCCCTTTAATCCCAGAGACACAAAGCGGGCGGGGAATTCTGTACCTGCCTGTGTCCAGTCTGACCCTTGAACCAGCACAGCCTCCTGCACCTCCTCTGGCTCAGTTTTGAGCAAACAACACACCCAACCTCCTATGTCAAATAATGTGTAAAATATCATGACTATGTTCCCTGCTGACCTGAAAGCGACTTGGGACCTCAGGGTTGATCTGCTGGCCAGGGAAAGCCAGGGGAGGGAGAGTCCCTTCACCTCTCTTCACCCATCCCCCTGCCAAAGCTGGAAACTCAGTACACGAGCCGGAAGGCTCATCCCCAGATTTTATGCTCTGCTGTTAGGTTAGCATAAATGTTCAGTGTGAACATCAATGTTAAAAGGACTTTTAAAAATCAAATTTCCCTCCTGCAGCTGCTTTTTCCTTCATTTGCTACCTTGGTCCCATATGCCTGGTTTTCGTCTGGACTCTTGCTTGCTATGGGAAAAGCCGCTGTGGTGACGTGGAAGGAGTGAGGATGGAGACTGCTCAGAGTCTGCTTGAATTTATATTAGTGGGTATCTTCGCCCCTCTCCTTTCCGGAATGGCTAAAACTTTTTATGCTTACCAAAGTGAAGGAAAAAACAAATTATACTTATTTATTTGCTATAAACTATGATAGATTCAGGGTTTCCCTGGTGGCTCCGTGGTAAAGAATCCACCTGCCAATGCAGGAGATGCAGGTTTGATCCTTGGGTCAGGAAGATCCTTGGAGTAGGAAATGGAAACCTATTCTAGTATTCTTGCCTGGTAAATCCCATGGACAGAGGCTCCCGGTGGGCTTCAGTCCACGGGGTTGCAAAAGAGTCGGACACAACTTAGTGACTAAACAGCAACAACAATACCATGATAGATTCAACCACAACTGAAACAGAAGGATCTAAAGTACTTCAGGGTCGACTGTTCCATTTATATAATATTAATACTCATAAGGGAACCAGTTGTCCCCAAATATTTTCAACATGATCAGTAAAAACTATAGAATTTTGAAAGGCTGAACACCACACAGAAGTGACAAGTGACTGGATGGAAGGCTTGGAAAATAAAACTCCGAATTTGTGAAAAGAAACAATACAACTGGCCCCTGAACAACAGGGGATTCAGGGCCAAGATCCCTGAGCTGCTGAAAATTCACATGTAACTTCACAGCTGGCCCTCCCTATCCAGGGTTCTCTACCCAAGGGCTCAACCAACCACACGGGGCTCTGGGCAAGGGCCTCATCTTTCTGCCCGTCGGTTTCCTCATCAGCGATAGAGGGATAACAATACCCACCCTGCAGTGGGCAGCCTCAGTGGCTTCGATCCTGCTCCATCACCCACTGGTCCAGATCCTGAGCAAGCTACTTAGCCTCTTTGAACTTCCTTTTCCCCTTGCAGAAAGGGCGGCAAGATGGAACCACCGACCTGCCGGACTGTTGAGAGGATTAAGAGAGCCAGCGTCCAGGACTGGTGCACAGCGGAGGCTTAAGAAACAAAGGCTTTCTCCTTGCTCACAGGTTATTGTGAAGAATACAGGAGATGATGCATTAATCGGACGAGCTTGGGGGACTACAGAACACCCTTCTGTTGTTTTAAGACATCATAGTTAAATCCTAGACGCCTCGTATATTAGTAAGTTGTTTTAAAGATGCTGTCCTCTAAAGGGTAGCCGCCCGCCCGCACCCCACACGCGCTAGGAGAGCGGGATTCTCCTCCTTGCCCGTACCCCAGCCCCTCTTTTGTAGCTAAAGCTCATCCCCAGCCACCGCCCACCGGGCTCTGTCCACGACACGCGGATCCGCCCAGAGGGGCCCCAGCCCGGCGGATCGCGGCTCAGGTGAGCCGGCGGCCGCCGCGCATCCGCCCCGAGCCGCGTCCGGAGAGGCTCGGGCGCGCTCACCCTCTTGACGAGGAAGCCCTCCTTGAGCACGCCGTCCTCCATGGCGCCGTCCCGCGCTGCCCGCTCCTCCGCTCCCGCGGCGCCCAGGAAGCGCCTCCGACTCGGCGCGGCGCCGCCCCCTGGCCCGCGCCCAGAGCCCGAGGCCGCGGGGCCTCCCGGGCAGGAAGTCCGTCCAGGTCGGGATTTCTAACGTGCTTCCCCCGCCGAAAGTGCCCTGAGGTCCGCGGTTAGTCTTCAGGTTTGACTCCCGGCCCGGCTCCCTCCATCCACGTGCCCCCTGCGCGCTGGGCGCCTCTTACCCTTCCCTCTCTGCCCATCTGCCGCCACTCCCAGCCTTAACCAGGTGCCTGCCTGGCACCCAGTACATTGGTCTTGAGTAATACTTAGGGAATCAGGCTGAACGGAAAGGATTTCAAGAATCTGGGGTCATCTGAGCTCTATGGAAATAGGGGGTGGGAGAGTGGATGAGGTGCTCCACGTTGGGAACTTGATCCTAGCCTCTGGTGGGCGCAGAGAAATGTTCCCATTAGCGAGGTCACGGGTTTAAGGAAGCAGGCACCATCTGCAGGGGCCGTCTGGCCCCACAATACCCCTTTCTGCCAAAAAGGCTGGAACTGAACTTTCCATGATTTAGGGGCAAAATTTAAGGGAGAGCCAGGGAACCCAGTAATCTAGATAAATAATATTTTAATGCAACATTCTAAAATATGTTGTGTTTTTGAAATTTTTTAAATAAAAAATCAGGCCAAAAAAAAATCCATGTTTAACAAAGTGTCAAAAACAGAGGGAAGCATCCATAATACTGAACTCCACCTTAGAACACTGTCCGTGTTTGCCCCTCAGCATGAAGGGCCCTATTAGGACTGTTCATCAGGACAGGAAAAGACCCCAGATGCCCAAAAGGGAAGAGAAAGCTCTAGATTGGGAGAAGGTGCCCCTGGGTGCCTTTCAAAACCAGCCGGGAGCCCACCCCTAAAGCACAGTGGGAGCTCCTGCCCTAGAAATGGCCCCCTTCAACCCTCTGTACAGACTGAATTTCGGATCTCAGAGGAGTACAAAATGAAAGGGGCTTTCATTCCATTTCAGAATGAACATCAATTCCGCACCTTCTGAAGCCAGACCTGTATTAGGTTCAGTTGAGTCGCTCAGTCGTGTCCGCCTCTTCGTGACCCCATGGACTGCAGGACACCAGGCTTCCCTGTCCATCACCAACACCCAGAGCTTACTCAAACTCATGTCCATTGAGTCGGTGATGCCATCCAACCATCTCATCCTCTGTCGTCCCCTTCTCCTCCGGCCTTCAGTCTTACCCAGCATCAGGGTCTTTTCCAATGAGTCAGTTCTTTGCATCAGGTGGCCAAAGTATTGGAGTTTCAGCTTCAGCATCAGTCCTTCCAATGAACATTCAGGACTGATTTCCTTTAGGATGGACTGGTTGGATCTTCTTGCTGTCCAAGGGACTCTCAAGAGTCTTCTCCAACACCACTGGGTTCTAATTAATGTACAGCACACCATAAGGTGAGTTTATTATCCCATTCTTTCCAGTCAAGGAAAATGAAACTTGAAGCAGTTGAATAACTTACCCAAGATCACACAAGCTTGGATTTTAACCCCAGGACAGTGTGAATGCACTTGTTTCTCACATCAAGAGCTGGGAAGAGGAGGAAAGAATAATCTGAGCTGTGAAAATTCGTTGGACTCAAACCCAGGACATGAGAGTTTGGAACGGGAAATTCTTATTCTTTTTGGCTCTGAAAGTGAAAGTGAATGTCACTCAGTCATGTCTGACTCTTTGCGATCCCCTGGACTATACCATCTATGGAATTCTCCAGGACAGAATACTGGAGTGGGTAGCCTTTCCCTTCTCCAGGGGATCTTCCCAACCCAGGAATCGAACCGGGGTCTTCTGCATTGCAGATGGATTCTTTACCAACTGAGTTATGAGGGAAGCCCTTTTGGCTCTAACTTTGGTCTGTTATTCTCTTTCTTCCTCTCAGATGCTGGGGGGGCAGCGAGTTGGCACAGAGGTTGTTTTGGCTTTACCCAGACACAGCCTTCTGAGTCTTAGAAGGATGGCATTTTCTTTGGCAAGAGGGTTTCCTGAATGAGTTCACAGAAATGGGAAAGGGGGAAGGATTGGTTCTTTCTCCTGACGGTGTCCCTGCTAGGAGGGAGTTAAGGCCTCTGCATACTTAGAGCCTACTTCTTGTGCTAGAAAAGCCCCTGGTCCAGCCCACCCCAAGTCTGACTCACTGGGCCCAGAGCCTGAGTCACACCCCTTCCTCCCCTGGCTGTGGTGGCTAAGCCACCAGCCTACCAAGGAACCACAGTGACATAAACCAGACTCAACCACAGGCAAGAGGATGGAGACAGAGGAAGCAGACATATAGTGGCAAGCAACTGAGACTAGGGGAAGGAAGCAGGAAAGGGAAGGAAACTCAGGACAAAGGAACTTGTCTTATTGTTCCAAGGACCTTTCATTTCCCTCTCAGGTCCAGAGGCTGATGTGGAAGGGACCCTGACTCTCTTAAAAGGGCCAGCTAAGGTTTGGAATGTGTTTGGAATGTTCGGAAGCTGTAGACAGCTCTAAGGTCAGTATTTGGGTGGAGGTAATTAACAATCTGATGCAAAATTCCACCATTAGAGATTCACTCCTTTGGCTATAGCTAAGAATTCCATTTAAGGTCTTTCCTGGTGGCTAGGTGGTAAAGAATCCACCTGCCAATGCAGGAGACATAGGTTTGATCCCTGGTCCCAGAAGACCCCACCTGCCATGGAGCAATTAAGCCCATGCACCACAACTACTGAGTCTGTGCTCTAGAGCCCAGAAACCACAAGTGCTGAGCCCACGTGCCTCAGCTACCGAAGCCTGCACACTTAGAGCCCATGCTCTGCAACTGGAAAAGCCACCAAATTGAGAAGCTGCACACTGCAGCGAAGAATAGGCCCCACTCACTGCAACCTAGAGAGAAGCCTGCACAGCAGTGAAGACCCAGCACAGCCGATAAATATTTTTTAAAAAGAATTCCATTTAAGATACTTACAGTAGAAAAGGATAAATTAAAAAAAAAAAAAGGAGAAATCATGGCGCCTTATTCTTGATGAATACCTTGACCCAGTAAGTTTATTAAAATCACAGAATCAGAATCTAAGCCTTAAATCATCTAATCCAGTACTTTATTTTATAAATTACTTGTCCATGGTCCCACAGCTGGTTAGTGGCAAAGCCAGGACCAGAAAACAAGCTAACAAGACTTCCACCCGAGGCAAATGCAGGGGCACTTTCTCCAGCAGTGTCCTACATCAGAGCAGGACTGCAGTGAGGGATTGACTGTCTGCAAAACCAGAAGACTTAAAACAATGTTTCCTTAGACATATAGTGGCAAGCAACTGAGACTAGGGGAAGGAAGCAGGAAAGGGAAGGAAACTCAGGACAAAGGAACTTGTCTTATTGTTCCAAGGACCTTTCATTTCCCTCTCAGGTCCAGAGGCTGATGTGGAAGGGACCCCGACTCTCTTAAAAGGGCCAGCTAAGGTTTAGAATGTGTTTGGAATGTTTGGAAGCTGTAGACAGCTCTAAGGTCAGTATTTGGGTGGAGGTAATTCACAATCTGATGCAAAATTCCACCATTAGAGATTCACTCCTTTGGCTATAGCTAAGAATTCCATTTAAGGTCTTTCCTGGTGGCTAGGTGGTAAAGAATCCACCTGCCAATGCAGGAGACATAGGTTTGATCCCTGGTCCCAGAAGACCCCACCTGCCACGGAGCAATTAAGCCCATGCACCACAACTACTGAGTCTGTGCTCTAGAGCCCAGAAACCACAAGTGCTGAGCCCACGTGCCTCAGCTACCGAAGCCTGCACACTTAGAGCCCATGCTCTGCAACTGGAAAAGCCACCAAATTGAGAAGCTGCACACTGCAGCGAAGAATAGGCCCCACTCACTGCAACCTAGAGAGAAGCCTGCACAGCAGTGAAGACCCAGCACAGCCGATAAATATTTTTTAAAAAGAATTCCATTTAAGATACTTACAGTAGAAAAGGATAAATTAAAAAAAAAAAAAGGAGAAATCATGGCGCCTTATTCTTGATGAATACCTTGACCCAGTAAGTTTATTAAAATCACAGAATCAGAATCTAAGCCTTAAATCATCTAATCCAGTACTTTATTTTATAAATTACTTGTCCATGGTCCCACAGCTGGTTAGTGGCAAAGCCAGGACCAGAAAACAAGCTAACAAGACTTCCACCCGAGGCAAATGCAGGGGCACTTTCTCCAGCAGTGTCCTACATCAGAGCAGGACTGCAGTGAGGGATTGACTGTCTGCAAAACCAGAAGACTTAAAACAATGTTTCCTGTGTTTATTTCTGATCATAAAAGTAATCTGTGCTCATTATAGAAAATACCAAAAAGGATAAAACCACTTAAATCCTATCACCTGGACAGGTGAAGAGTATTTTTACATGCACATATATATTTTATATAATTCATATAATTATGGGCTTCCCTCATAGCTTAGTTGGTAAAGAATCCACCTTCAGTGAAGGAGACCCCGATTCAATTCCTGGGTTGGGAAGATCCACTTGAGAAGCGATAGGCTACCCACTCTAGTATTCTTGGGCTTCTACATACATTACTTTTATTTAAAAATTTAAACCCTTCCTTTTTTCATTTGTGATAGCTAATAAGCATCTTCTCAAATCATTAAAAACAATTCAAAAACATAACTTTAATGGCTTCATAATATTTCATCATGCCTGAGTCAGAATGGATTTAATCATTTCCATTTAGTTTGAATTTCCTGTTTCACCGTGTAAATGAGGCTATGTTAAATATCTCTGTACAAAAGATTTTGCTACATCCCTGATTCTTTCAGATACATGTCTAGAGCTTAATTTTAAGTTAAAGGTATACGTTCTTTTAATTCTTGATACATATCTCCAGCCTGCTTTCTAGCAACATACCACGTTTCTAGATGCCCTTACCAGCAGCATATACTAATGCTGGCCTCTGGTGTCTATACCAGCACTAAGTGCCATGTTTTTAGAAAGCTGC